CCTAAAGCCCTAAACCCTAAACCTTCCATCCTTCGGGTCATCTGAAGGGGTCTGGGTGGAGCATCCTTACCTGCTTTGACCCAAGCCACAGGTCCATCAAGGAGAAGACATCGTCATAAGATGCCTGGCTCAAAGAAAAACTCATGGGTAGTGATAAGGGGCGTTATGAAAATACCCCAGATGGGTTCTAAGTAGGATGACAAGTGAGGTGACAGGAGTTCGAGATGCCTGGGTTGTCTTGCAAACCCTATTTGCTAAGTCCCCTGATACTTCAACTTCCTACACCTTGAAGCCCCCACACCAAACCCTGAAGCCCCCAGTGACTGAACCACAGATCGAAAAGCCCCGAAGCGCTAGAACCCTGAACCCTAAACCCTAAACCCCAAACCCTAAACCCAACTGCAAACGCCACACCCTGAAGCCCGAACGCCCCAAAATCCTGACGCCGTGGACAGGCGCATCTCCCTAAGCAAGGGATGTTGGGTTTAGGGCTTAGGGTTTAGGGTTTAGGGTTCAGGGTTTAGGGTCCTGGGCTGGCTGGGGTGGTTGGGACTCTCTTCAAGACCTCCGTCTGGTACATAGGCAGCATCTGCAATGCCAAATGCCGCAACGATCTCGCTTGCCAGTGGTTGCATAAGATGAGACACACCTGAGTCACACCTGTACTGAAGCTCAGAACCCCCGCCCCCACTCCAGCAAGCTAAAGCCCTACACCCTGAACCCTGAAGAAGAACCCTAAACCCTAAACCCTAAACCCTAAGCCCTAAACCCTAAACCCTAAACCTTAGGCCTAGGGCTCCGAGGTTTCGAGTCTCATGACCTCAGTAGACTCGAAAGCTGCGCATCTACGCCCACAGGTATCCTGAAGCTGCTGTCTGCACGGTTTAGGTTTTAGGGGGGTTTAGGGTTTAGGGGTCTAGGGTTTGGGGTTTAGGGTTTAGGGTTTTAGGGGTTTAGGGTTGAGGAAAACGGCCACTGATGATCATCTAGTAAGCCCCAAAAAGTTGGAAACCGGATCAAGAACAATCAGTGCTGGGATTCCCTATACATTACTCTTAAGGATTGAGGCTACCGGGGTTTCCATCTTTTGGGCTTCTATTATAGGTGCTTTAATGACTGCACGCCTTGAAACTCCAAGCTTAAGCCCTAAAGTCTAATGTAGGGGCCTTCATAATTAGAATAGGGTTTTGGGGGGCCCATTATACTATAATTCTACTAAGGAACCCCCAACAAAACCCTATTCTAATTATTTATGCCCCCATATAATAAAAAAAACGTTTTGGGAAGCAAAGCTCGAAGTATCGTTCAGGATTCAGGGTTTAGGGTTTGGGGTTTAGGGGTTCAGGCTCTGCCGGGCCTGGATGATGGGCGTGTCCTCCCACTCGGTGCCCCCGAATCTTAGTGGAACATGAGCGGTCCATGGTCCCGGGTCTGGGTGCCGCTCTTGAGAACCCTGTTGCAGCTCCCTAATGTAAGGGGCCTTCATACTTAGAATAGGGTTTTTGGGGGCCCATTGTGCTATATTTATAAGAAGGAACCCCTACAATCCTATTCTCATTACTAAGGCCGTTAAGTCAACACGAAACCGCAACCAGAGGACTGGCAGAGCCATGCCCTCTAGCATTTCCACCTCTTGATTCTATGCCGGGATGTATTGAGCTTGTGCCGTGTGCCAACACGCTCTGGGGATCGAGAAAGTCGTACCACCGAGTATCTGAACCTTGAAAATAGCAGTGCCTACTTTCTCAGGTGCCTGGGTAGAGGAGGCTTTGCTACTGTCCACGGGGTCATCGTCTTAGCCCGACTCTCTGAGAAAGGCCTGAATGATCGGAATAGGGTTTGTGGGGAGTATACGATAGTATAACCGTAATAAAAAAAAAAAAAAGCTAAAGAACAATAGCAGAAATTCTGCCGACCTCTCTGTTCAAGCCAGAATCCTAAAACCTTCGTAGAGGAGGCGGGGCTGGCACTCCGCGGATCCCAGAGCCCTCAACTCTGCGGCAAAAACACCCCAATCTGCTCTCTAGAAACCCCAAACCCTAAACTCTAACCCCTAAACTGTAGAACCCTGTAAGTATATCCCTCTATAGGCCCTTATGAACTGCTAAGACCATGATCCCTAAGTCCTCACATCCCTTGCCACTAGCTGAATCCAGGCTTTAAGTGCCACGGACTCCTTTGGCTCCCAGCAGGGGCCGGGTTTAGCGTCTAGAGCTTCGAGGTGAAGGAGGGTTTAGGGTTTAGGGCTTAGGGCTTAGGGTTTTTAGATTGATTCTAAGATGTTTTCTGGAGCCCCACGTACACTTTTAAGGATCCCTGATTCTTCCTGGTTAGGAGCATCACGCCACCGTGAAAGCTCTCAACCCAGCATTCAATGAACGCGGGGTATTTTACCAACGCAGGGCCCGTAATGATTGGAATAGGGTTCTTGTGGGACCATGGAATGAATCAAGGACTCCGAGGGAAACTTGTTATTACGAATCGCCTAGCTCCCTAAGCCCTGACCAAAAGCCCTAAGCCTGTGCTGTACTTTGTAGTTCAGGTGGTTTTCTGCCGCACTGTTCCTACACCAGCTGCAGTCCCAAACCAAAACCCTCAACCCTGAACCCTACA